TGTATTTTTTATTTGGCGATGCTCATCTCATTTTTTATTCAAGGATATCCTAAAGCGACTATGATTTTCTATTTATTGGTCTTTAATAATAAAGAAAAATCCTAATCAATTAGCATTAAAAGTTCGGGCTTCAAATTCAAGTCCGGGTCCAAACAAAAGGAAACACCTTCTAGTTTGAACCCGCTACCTAACTTAAGATCCGCCGCCTGCCGTTGTAAATATTAACAAACTAGCTACCATTTCGATCCAGTTCAACTTTAGCTTCATTATATGAATTGGATTATTGGAGTTAACTATGTGGAATATAAAGCCATTTTTGAGCTCTTTTTACGATTTGTTGAAAAATGCATCAATGCTTAAAACTGACATCAAGCTAACATGAATCACTAACATTCGAGAACTAACATTAGTTACTAACATTATTCACATTGCTATTTAAAATGATGTTATTTACTCAAGTGAACTCGCGATTTCAGAATTAAACCTATTAAACCAACATGCTGATTTTCATAAACTATTTGAACCTGTTTTGCGACATAAACTATTTGAAACTGTTTCACGACTACTGAACAAAAGAATTAAATACAGTATATTTCATAACTAGTAATCACCAACTAAGATTAATTACAATTGATATTCCATGTTTGTAGAAATAGATTCAACCAGTCCAGTTTATGCATTTCAAAATCATTCCAATACATACTATGAAATATCAAGTGAACTACTGCTTATACATCAAATTAAACACAAAGAAATAGTTTTTTTCAGAAATCCATTCCAACAACTCTTTACTTCCTTTCCTTTAAATTTGAGAGCTGTAGAACTGGATAACGGAAATAAAAGAAGACGAAGGAGCATTCAGCAACAGTAATAACACAACAACGCAGTGACAGAACAACCCAGTGACAAATTAAAAAGGAAGGAACCAACAAAGTTCCAGCAACACCCAATGAAAACAGTAGCCAATAACCAATAGCAAACTCAGGAAGAACCAATTGAAACCCTTTTTAGTTTCTTAACTCTCCAAACACTGAACCTTTTAGGATTAAAAACCAGGCTCCTTTTTTTACTCTCAAATTACTGAACTTTTAAATGTTAAAAATCCAGCCTAAACTCTCTGGAAAAAAAAAGACTGAAAGAGAACTGATTTTTCCTTCCAAAAAACCAGCCCTATTTTCTGTCTTGAAATGACCCTATTTATAACCCAAAACAGGTATGAGCAACATATTTTAATCAATCCTTTTTAAGCTTTTCATACCATTATGTTTTGTTCCCCACACTTGCATGCCTTGTTCCCCACTCTGCTTTGTTCCTCACTAGCAAATATTTTGTCCCCCACTATATTAAACAAATGTATTAGTTCTCACTGCCACATGTCTTGTCCCCCACTATGTATTAAACAATGTATTATTTTAATATTATTAGTGCTTAGTGGGCAGAGCACTCAAATTAAAAATTTTAAATCCCGAAATATCCTTGAAACTATTGAAATTACCATTATACCCCATCAGCTATATCCAATCCTCCTAAATTAATTAACCAAACTACAGCAGCTATAACCAATCTTAAGTGAGAAATCCTAACAATTGACTAATTAAAACACATGAAACTAACTCCCAATCAACAACATCAGGACAATTCAACAAGGCCAGATTCATATCAGAAACAAACTTAACAAAACAAACAAGTATATCCAAATCACTAAACACAATCATCAATTGAACTCAAAACAGTAGGAAAAACGCATACACATATAATTTCAACGAATATGCAGTAGGATACTTCATGCGCGGATTTTATCAAAATGAACCCACATTAAAAACGAAACCACAAATAGGTCCGTGAATAGCATAGATTCGAGGTAAAAGATATGACCTTTACTACTGTACTTTCTTGCTCTGTTACACACAGTGAAAACGAAATTCCAAAGAAAAAGCAAACAAAAAAATCCGTGAACGAGCTATGGCTGACCTTTATGCTAATGATTCGACGTCGAACAATGATGAACTTCCGATGAAACACAGCTTCGTTCACGACACTGTTTCGATACTTGATTAACAGACACGGACTCGAACGGAACCTCGACGTACCACTGAGCCCGACCTCGGATGGCTAGTCTCGTTTTGGACTGGAGGGTGGTTATGGAGAAGGGTTGGGGACTCTGCTGGGGTCATTGGCGTGACAGTGGAGTTGGAGTAGCAGTGGCTTGGAGATGTTGCTGCTCGCTGCTGCTCGACGGAAAAGGGTGGTTATGGAGAAGGACTGGGAGACGACGAAGGGGTCGTTGGCGTGACAGTGGAGCTGGANAGGTCGGGGATGAGGTATGGGCTGGGTATCCGGGTTTCAATTTCAAAGGGGAAGAAAAATTATTTGGACTTTAAATTGATTTGGCCCAAATATGACTTAACACTCTTTTATTTTGCCTTTCTTTTCTTAGACTAATAAAACAAAAAATTCCAAAAATCCTAAATTAGCTTATTGGACCAGATTAATTTACAAAATTACTACTAACTTTTTAATAACAATTAACACACACAATCAAATAAAATCACATAACTTGAACATGAAATGCAAAAAATACATTATTTTGTGATTTTCTTTCTCTTAAAACAAAACATGGTTCAACTAATTCCTAAGTGCACAATTAAATCTTAAATGTGCATGCACCATATATTTTTTATATTTTTAATTAATTAAAACAAACTAAACATTCACAGACAAAAATAATTATCCAAAATGTCACGCAAAGTTCTCAAAATTGTACCCAAAAGCAATTTATTTTATTTTTCGATTTCTTTGGGAGTTGTTTTCGTGAAGCAAAAATCACGTGCTCACAACTGCTTCTGATAAAGGAAATCATACAATCAATGATATATTTAGTCAATTTGAGAAAGAAGAGTTAGTATGAAGTCACTAGAAGGAAACTTTCACATAGCTTTTCTAAAACCAATAAAAGTATAGCCTATGCTGTTCTCTTTATAAGCTACAGGAATACATAAGTTTGAATAAACCTTTCAGGAAACTATACATAATAGTCCTGCGGTAAGGAAGTTCATGAAAAATTTGAAACTTCTTCAGTTCAAGCCATTTTAGGTCAGAATCATTCTAAAAAACTTTGCATTACTTTAAGGAATCTGGATGATATGCTTAACTGCTGGCAGAATTAACTTCAATAAAATAAACGAATCAGTTCTTTGAGTTCGTTCTTAAATCCCATTTTGACAAAAATAAATAAAATAAAGGAATCGATAGTGAAGGACTTGATGGACATTCTTTTTTTCGTGTCTGTTTGAATTGAATCTGAAAGTAGAGTGAAAGGAACCGTGATTTAAGTTTGTATATTTGCCTAACTTCAAAGGATTTTGGCCTATGAATTTCACTTATCATGCCAATCGTATTAAGATCTGCCTTTTCTCCATATTACCAAAATTTCTTGAATATCTTTAACAAAGTTTTCAATTCTTTCGTGACGCAGGGAGTTCCAACACTCAGAAATGTAGTGATTACAAAATCCAAATCCAACTTTTACTAGAAATTCCTAATTGTTGCAAAAAATGTCAAGTGTATTTTACATATATTTGCTGCCTCATATTTGTAATGTGGGATGGTTTGTTCTTGCAATTTTACAGCTACCAATATGCAGGTTATATTAATAAAATGGAACAAAGACTTAGTATTAGTGAAATTACACCACTAACTACATAATGGACTTGCAAAGTCCAGGCTGTAGACAAATTTCGGCCACGAGACAGTAGAGATCAACGAGTTCATTTTCAGACAATAATTGTCCAGGATGTAAGCGTAAGTCAAGTTACAACTATAGTTGTAACATAACTTCTTTTCACTTGTACTCTTCCAATAATTACTTAGTCATCATTCTTAATAACATTGTAGGAGGAACAAGTTTGTGTGATACTTTATGGTGACGATATTAGAAGATGTGATAACTTGTTCGAACTTTTTGAGACATATCTGATTTCAACTGCCAAGGTTAGAAATCCGCAGCCTTATTCACTACATATAGGCCAATTTGAGTGGATCGTTGACAGATTTACTATTGTGGAGTCTATCCAAAAAAATAATGAAAAGGAGGCATCGTTACCTCTTCCGTCAAGACTGAGTACGATTTCGTTCGCCGACGTTGCACAACAGCCTTCCGGTGTTGAGTTGGTATGTTTCAAATTACCCTATGCTTTATAACAGCTTAATTGCTTGAAACTCATTCAAGTATATTGGTTTGACGTACATTTGTTTTTTGTTTATAACAACAGATCTATTAGCTGTGGTGGCAAACTGTGGGGCAATGCAATACACCGTTGATCAGAGTAAGAGATTTCAAGAGGCCATAGTTATGGACAAAATGTGAGTCATTTAATCTTCTGTTGCATAACAAAATCTCTAGCTCACACTTATAAAAGTACATGTACATGAAGAAACCTCTCTTCTTCACTATATGGGAAGACTTGGCAAGCAATGAAGGAGCTGAGTTACTGAGACAAGTGAGGCAACTACAAGAATATCCTATTATTCTCGCAAAGCGGATAGGTACCACAAAATATCAGGGTGGTAAGTTCATGCAACTCCTGTTCCTATATATGGATTATTGTTTCGCGTTGGTTATTAACAAAATTTTCATGCACAGTTACCCGTTTCGCAACAAGATATAACTCAACAATCTTAATCAATCCCCTATATGTGCAAGCAACCGAATTACGGAATTGGTACAATACAAATTGTGCTTAAAATGTACCACATTATTATTTAGTTGTTATTTCTTCTGTGGAAAAATAATTGTCTGACATTTTCTGTGTGAATTACAGGATAAATGAGAACAAACAAATGCTAATCGAATACACAATGAAGAGTTCAGCAGAGTCAGCTTCATCGCTTAATCTTGTAGCTGTTGACGATGAAATATTATCTGTTTCAGCTATTGCTACGCAAACCTCCACTGTGAGTTCACTAAATTACAAAATAAAATGCCGAGAACTGCCACACAATGTATCTTTTATACAATATGGATAACAGTTCAATAAATTTTATTATGAGGATTCGTATATAAAAATTATTTTTAGTGTTCTTTGTTCTTACGACTCTGTGTTTTGAAGATTTTTTGGTATTTGCATCAAAGCAGTGTGCTTCAATTTCTTTTTTTTTTTGGCACAATCTTTTCAACTTTAGTGGTAATGCACCGCATTCAACAAACTTCTAAATCTAAGTTTTATATAATGAAGCTCTAGAATGCAGTCATTTTCAAGAATGATTGGGAAAATTGGCTTATTGTGATGAACACTTTTGTTAGTTATTGCACATTCACACACGTTAACATAATAGCAAATCTAATAAGGTCAGGACAAGAGTTGGTTTTCATTAAAAGAATTACATTTTATTGTTACTGGTATTCCACAGGTGCCTTATTATCTTCTGATCTTCTTATTGACCTATTTTTCCCAAATAGAAACATCATCATCGATTACGTTTTTCCTGTCTTCCCTTTGATGGACTGCTTGGTCAGTAAAGTAACAAACATTTAGCTATATACATGACCAATTTAGTCATTAGTGAACCCAAAGTCAACGAAGGTACTACTATGGAGAAATTGAAACTTTTGCTTCACATGAACGAGAAAATTAACCAAAGAATGAGACTTGTACGAGGAAGAACAACTTGCTCTATTCCCTGCTAATTCGTGACAAATTCAGCATTATGCTACGAAGGGATTAAGCTAATCCACTTGAACTTACTTAGGAATCTTGAAATGACTTAATTCGATAAAGAGATAGCTTCAAGAAATACTTGTTGTCCTTTGTCCTAATTTCAGGAAGCTCTCCGTGCTTACAATGTAAAGAATCATAACTCCAATTGGTGCAACAATAAGATTCTCTGTGAAAATATGAATTATGTTATCTCTGATGTCTAGATATGGTAGTTGACCATATCCCGTTGTTATCTATTTTTGGATTACTGGTAGCACATTTTTCTCATTTACCAGTTATATTCTTCTGATGTATTTCTTCTTTCACCACTTCTACTATGGCATTCGCACCATTGCTGATTTTTCCTATGTTTCAACCCTCCTTTGCGTACCTCACAATGTCATCTTGACCACTATTGGATCTTGTTATGCCTTTGATTACTAATTTTTCCTTTCTAAGTTTCTTCTTGGTAAAACACCAAAAGTTTACCCTGTTATCTGTTTTCTTAGGCAATCCTTATTTCAGTATTACATTTTTATGTTTTCATTATATCTTCATATGTCATCTGAGGCTTAGTGGTAATGCACAACATTTGTAGGTTATGCACTGATAAGTTTTTCACAATAAAACTCTAGAATGCATGTTATTCCAAGACCAAAAGGGAAAATTGAGTTGCTGTGATTATTTTGTTAAAGTTGTGTATTATTAATAAAGTCATTGATATATAGTTTGTCAATTTTTAGTTTTGATGGTATGGTTACTACTCTTTGCTAGAGCGGACTTTCACTGAATAACAATAAAGTCACGTCTTTTATTACTGGAGTACTAGAGTTGCTCAGTAACTGTCTTTACCGTTCTTATCTGAGGACAGTTGACACACGAAAGTTAATAAATAGTTAACACTGGAAGATAAACTTAAACGCCACTCGAAATGGTAGGCATGTCTTGTATGAACCTCCAGATTGTATTGTTGAATTTCTCAGCTTTCTTATTTTCCTGATTTTTGAAATAGCTGCTGCGTACAAATTGTTTAAATTGGGTTGTCGCTGTTTTATTACAGCTTAAAATTTTCATTTTCTACCAGAAATAATCTTTGGAGATAAATTTAGTATTCGAATGTTGTGTTTACTACCCATAGTTCAGCTAATAAGCTTCTTCATTATTGCTAATGGTTCAACAACAATTTCTGCAATGCAGAGGATTGGATGGTGTTTGTTTCCAAAAGTGTTTCAATATTTTTTTTTTGAAATTCTTTACTTTATTCAAAAGTTTTTAAGTTTTTACAATATTGAAATAAGATGCCATCTACCCCTCCCAACTCAAAACACTAATTTTGTGAATTCCTTTTCAAATAGTTTGAGAGTTTTTTTCCCGTTGACAAAGGTTTAGAAGAAATATGGTGTTAGATAGTACAGTGAAAAACATACTATAACTTATTAGGTTAAACTTACGGAGCTCTTACTCCCAGTTAATTTGCCTGACCAAAAATTCCTTGAAATTATATGTCTTTACTCTTTATGCCTCTCTTATAGTTATAAGATAGGTTTTGGTTTCTTCTTTTCCTAATTTTCAGAATTTCTGCTGACTAGAAATTGTTCAAATTGGATAAGTGTTTGGTTGCAAATATTTGTGAAATTATATATAATTTTATCTTCACTGGCCTTCCTACGTAAGCTCTGTGACCTTTTATCCAAAAACTTCAGCAGAGAGAGCATCAAAGGAACTGAATATAGACATCATCATCTTTGATATTTTATTACTTCTAACTTGGAAAACAAATGGAGTTAAAAAAGACAAGAAACTAAAAGTATTGCTTTGTTGGTTTGTTTTTTATGTAAGAAGTGTACTTATAACTAGTACTTTAAACTTGTATGTGAAGAAAAGAAGATGCAAAGGAGAAGTATATATAGGGGTTGGATTAAAGAATAGGAAATCCTTTACCAAATGAATTTTAGGTTGGAGCAGATGGTTAACTGACTATTCATATTAGTATTTACCTTTAAGTTTTTCCTTAGTTTTTACTGTAGAAAAAAGTTAAAGAACATCTGAAAATTGTCCTACAACTGCCTATCAATGAGCACAATTATATGTGACAAAAAGGATATTCATTTCGTAGTGGCTTCTCAATCATTTTTGGCTAATACTGTATCCACTCTAGCTGTTTTCGTTATATGTTTTCATTTCTGTATTTTCTGTCCTGATTGAGGTGAAAATTCTTTCTGTTAAGTCGATTCTTGCTTAACCCCATACGTAACACTATTTTCGATTCTGCTGCTACTTCCGACATCATAGATTATTGGAAGTCTTATCTAAAGTTTCTCTCAATTACATAACTAAAGTTAAGATGAGTCTTAAGTAGAAATGATTGCCTCCGCAAAGTTAAAATAGGCTCTGAGCAAATTTGTTCAGAAGTGGAACAAACTTTTTTCCCTTTCATGTTATTTGCAGTATTTATTGATCTAATATTCTTCTTTCTGTTTAATGTGCAATAGGAGTTATTTATAGTTATACAAAGATGAAATTGCTTTCTCATCTATAATTTGGTTATGTAGGATAAACTATACGTAAATATGTATCATTATCTGTCACTTAACTCATGCTACTTACAACTACGGGTGCACAATTTATTTCAACATGCACATTGTTTCACATGCTTTTACCTGGATAAAAATAACAAAAAATCAAGTCATTTTGTCTCTTACCCACTAAGTTTTCCTTCTATTATTACTCTGTGTTAACACTTTGCAGGCGGAAAGTTTTTACGTCGAAGGAGAAATTTCACTACCTGAGCATTTCCAACGATTTTACCTGCTAGGTTGTTCTGAATGTAACCATCTTGTTCGGAGCAAAATAAGAAGGGAGATTCAATGCATAAACTGCAGGCTGCCACGAATGTTAATTCCAAGGTAACAACTACTACTAATAAGGTTATATCATTGACAATATTTGATATTGTATGCCATCTATTGTACCTCAACTAAAATAATTTACAATATACCACATCATAGGTGCCACTTTGAGGTAGAAATTACAGACGAAACTGGCACAATAACAACAATGTCTAAAGGCTTGGGCGAAAGAATATTATCAATGACAGCTGAACAGATATATGATATCACCGCTGTTAAGGTACATACACATACAACATTGCAGGTAACATAGGTCAACAAACTTAATATAATACTCTGATATGATATCTATTATTTTTACTATCTGTTTACAGAATGAGTTATTCCCTGTTGCCCATATCAACCAACTACTGATAAACTATTCAGAATTCAACTACAAAGGTCATCATCCAGAACACCAGACAAAAATGCAGGTTCTCTGGTTCTTTTGTCATACACTGAAAAACCAACCATGTTTCTACCAGAAGAGTCAACATCTGCGAGTGGTGCCGACAGAATTATGGAAGAAGAGCCAATACTTGTGACTGATGCAAAAGCAACTAAGAAACGGAAAAGGGAACCAAGTACTCTACCAAAGCTACAATCAAGGTTAGAAACTCAAATACCATATTTTACGATGTACTAATGTTCTTAAAATGAATATATTATTTGTACAGATTGTCGAACCAGTGATGTTCGCTCAGACAGTATGCGATGTACATGCACATTTTGATAACATTTTTCCAGATCATACCGATCTTTTAACAAAGTTTAGATATTTTGGCCGCCTTAACAAACTGTTCCACATTTTTTGCGTAGATAGTTGTCAGTAGTATGTGCCTATGTTTTTGAAGGCAATTGGTATTATTTTTGGATATTGGAGCGGCCTCTAGATGTTGTACATACTAGTCTGTTTATTGAAATGTAGAAACTGAATGTAGTGTTGCTATATATCTTGTTTGTTTCACATTAATGTTACAAACATGCTGTTCTATGCAAAGATTCAGTAATTGCTATGAAGAATGTATCTTCAGTGGATTGATTGAGGTTAGAACTGTACATCGCTGAACTTTGCGATGTATAGTGCGTTCATACAAGTCACTTGCTTATAAATGAACTCTTTCCCAATGGCACTCTTTAGCTATAAGAAGTATATGGTTGAGTTTGATGAATTTGTGACACTATTATACATTGTCTTTGATAGATATGATCTGACTTTCTCAATTGCTCACACTTTAATCCAAAGTGTTGGGCCCGGGCAAGCCCGGGCTGATCCCATCTAGTTATTATATAACTATCTTATAAGAGGGAATAGCAGGAAGGACCCCGTCAACATGTCTGCCTGTCATGAGGCATTCTTGGTATTTCATAATTATTGCGTTATATATGTACATTCCCTTGCTTGGACAGAAAAAAACAGATAAACATGGGCTGGAGAGATAAAGTGAAGTACATCTTCTCTTAAACGTGAGCCCCGGAACATCCATTTGGTCACACGTAATAACTCTCAAGACACTACAACACTGGCCCCCATTTGAATTCTCTATTTTACACATAACTTATCGTCCTCTTTGATACATATAACTAGGAAGAGTTAGTTTAATCGTAAAAATACAAAACTTGAATCGGGACCAGAAAAATAATAAGGCTGAAATAAGCAAAAACTTAATCAACTAACTTCACATAGAAAATGTAAGAATTGTTCTATTTGATGTTAGAGTAAATCTGTCGACTCCAGTAATCTAAAGATTTTAAGGAAAATTAGAGAAATTACAAAGTAACATATAAATTAGATTCCCCCCTCCCCTAATATCTCCTCTTTTAACGTTTAGGATTTAGGGTTAATTGAAATTTAGGATAATCAAAACTTTAAAAAAGAAGAGTAAAACAAAAGGCTCTTTTTAAAAATTATATTTATTCTCTAATACCTCATTTTATTTAAAGGTCTATGATATAGTTAATTGAGATTTAGGAGGATCAAAACTTTAAACAGAAAAAAGGCTATTTGTAGAAAATGTTATCCTTCTGTAATATCTGAATTTGCTTGAAATTTAGTCTGAAAAATCAATGACGGAGCATATAATTCAAAGAGGAATCCATCTTCAATGAGAAAAAATTATCATGCATAGTGGCATTTATTTTGCTCTAACTGTGATAAATCATTTTTGTTCAGTTTGAACTGTGATATTTTAACTATTGTAATTTAAGAGAATAGTTTTAAAGAGATGATCACTTTATATACAAATATAACAGCTCAAAAATTAAACAATTTTCAAATCAACCATGTATACAAATATATTCCAAATATTTTCAAAAAGTTTTTGGTAATGACAAATAGAAAGGTGTATAGCATATTAATTTTGCTTACCATGACTTATGAAGAGATTTAAACATTAAGGTTCTTGATTTTAATTTGTTAATCCTATTGCCATTGTTAGGTAGTTTGGAATCTTTTAAATCGTCTTTGGTTGAACATCTGGATGCACATATATAGGTATAAAGGAAAAATATACTTTGCAAATGGTAATCTAATGTAAATATATTTCCAGAAATATGAAGAAAAGTGGTAACAAAGGCCAATTGATGATACTGAATTTCTCTACCAATAAAAATATTACTTTTCCAACCGATTCTTTGAAGATCAACATAAAGTTTATACTTTAAAAATCAACTTCCAACAAATAGTTACAAAAGTGAAAGATAACTAAAAGATTTTGATGATCAAACGTTTGAAAAGAAGAATTCTCAACCAATTTATAAAGAACGCAAAATAAAGTGGTAAATAAAGGGGACAATTTCATAATAATTCTTGGGTTGTAGCACACAATCTAATTTTTTTTTTGAATTGTCATATTTTGTGAAATAATATATAAAAATTGATGTTTGATATATTATTAAAACTTATATTGTCAGAACATATAAGTTGTCTTTTAAAATTTATTTCTCAGATAATATTTGGGATAAAAAAAAAATTAAAAAAAATTTTGGAAAAATTACACTACACAACAAATATATATACGCCGTATTTATTATTTGTAGCTATACTTTCAGCAAATTTATCATCCATAGCTATAAATGAAATTTGTAATAAATCCATGAAATAAATGATTAATTGTTTTGAACTGAAATAAGAGAGCAATAGGATCTCATAGCTTAGTTGGTTGGAGCATCGTTTAGTAAGCGGAGGTCTTGAGTTTTGACTCTCAACAAGAGCATTTTAATTTTTGGTATTTTGCCTTGGTTTGTATCCGTTACGTGAAAAAACTATACTCATTGCACGTCTGAATATGCAACCATAATGCTTTATGAAAATTCCTCTTCTTTATTCATAACTATACTATATTGTTTAGCGGTGTTATTGGGCCCGTGCACTGCACGGGCTGTCTATACTAGTATTTTATAAGGCGTCAATGTTGGAATTAATAATTACTAGATTATTTAACAGTATTGTTTCGTTTGGTTCAACCGAATTAAAAATAGAAGATGCAAGGTGTGATCTAAAATATATATTTGGTTTGAAACTGAATAAACATGGATAAAATTTTGTATTAGTTTGAACATTTGATATTGTAGACATGGAAAATTTAATGGATCAAGCTAAATATATTACAAGACCTCTTGAAATTCTAGGAGTTTGTCAGTGTTGTTTGGAGGCTACTCTACCAAAGCCCAGCATTGGATATAACATTGGATATAACAGACAAACTAATCCTTCTTATTTACCTACCATGTAATCCAGACAAAGATATAACAGTAAACCAACATAGAAGAATTCTGAGGAATTTCTAGGAATTCATTGGAGTAAGAGAACAGTGACCTTGTTACCACCTAAGCAAGGCTCGATAAAGTAGTTGCACTACCACTAACATCACTCAACAACTCAGTAGCAGTTATACTCNTATCATACTTGTAGCACCCTACATCGTCAATTCACAGGGATTATCAAAGAAACAATGATCACAATTAACAGTACCGTTGCACAAAGCAGACAATCCTGTAGTATAGTAAAAGAGGAGAACCTTAGAAGACTAGAACAAAAGAAACTAGTACAAAATTAAAGGTAACCAAGGCACCTATAATGGAGTGTAAATAGTGAAAAAAGATCCTGAAGGAAAATAATAATGACAAAGCAGAGCAAGGCGGCAATGAGATTGTATCATGCGATTGACTTTGTTTAAGGTTGACTGTTGCAACCACTTTTGACTAATGTATTTGTTAACTTGCAAGAAGAGATTGAATCTCCATGAATGGAGATGAGAAAACCCTAGGTTCTAGTCGGTGTTAGAGAGAAACTAAGAAACTATCAGGTAAATAGAAAGAGAGGAAAAATGATGTATATCTTCAATAGACTTCAATCAAATCTATTAGTATGTTCATCGTAGTCCAATAATCAATAATATCCGAACATGGGCCGGTTCCCAGTATAAGAGAAAGGAA